CTGCTTTGGATAAAAGAAAATTTCTAGTTGAAGTAATGAATTTTTTTTTGGAATGACCCATATCTTTTCAAATACTGTTCAGATCAGATTATCCGGAGATGCGTGCCCAATGATGAGGTAAGTAGCATTTTATCATTTTGCCATTCGGGAGCATGTGGAGGCCATTTTTCTATGAAAAAGACAGTTGCAAAGGTTTTACAATGTGAATTTTATTGGCCAAAAATTTTTAAAGATGCCTATAATTTTTGTAAGGTGTGTGAACGATGTCAAAGACTAGGGGGATTAACTCATAGAAATGTGATGCCTCTAAAGCCAATTTTGATAATATACATTTTTGACTGTTGGAGCATAGATTTCATGGGACTTTTCCCCCCATCTTTTGAATATATGTACATTTTAGTGGGCGTAGATTATGTCTCTAAGTGGATCGAAGTTATACCATGTCGGACAAATGATCATAAAGTTGTTTTGAAATTTCTAAAAGGGAATATTTTTTCCAGATTTGGTATACCTCTAGCCATTATCAGTGATGGGGGATTGCACTTTTGTAATAAACCTTTTGAAAATTTAATGAAAAAATATGGAGTGACACATAAAGTTGCAACCCCTTATCACCCGCAGACAAGTGGTCAAGCAGAGCTAGCTAATCGAGAAATTTCTTATATTTTGGAAAAAACGGTTAACCCTGATCGTAAAGATTGGTCATTACGACTAATCGATGTGTTATGGGCATACCGTACTGCTTACAAAACCCCGATTGGCATGTCTCCGTATAGATTGGTGTATGAAAAAGCTTATCACTTACCTGTGGAATTAGAACATAAGGCATATTGGGCCATTAAGATGTTTAATTTTAGTTTTGACAAAGCTGACACCTTAAGAAAATTACAGTTAAATGAGCTTGAAGAGATTCGGAATAAAACTTATGAGAACTCTAGGATTAACAAAGAACGAATGAAGGTGTTCCATGATAAAAATATTTTGCGTAAAACTTTTACACCTTCACAAAAAGGTCTTTTATATAATTCTAGACTACATATCTTCAAAGGAAAACTTTAAACTAGATGGAGTGGCCCGTATATTGTTAAAGAAGTTTTTTCATATGGAACAGTGGAGATTGAAAATCCCAATAATAGGAACACCTTTAAAGTTAATTAACAACGATTGAAGCCATTTTTGGAGGACGGTATAGTTGAAGTGGAATCCATTGAGTTGGTGGATCCTCGATATAAATGATTCATCTCTAACAATCAACACAATTGTTGTATAACATTTTTTTTACTTAACATTTTGCTTATTTTTGTTAATTCTTTTATTTTTAGGATTTAGAGTTGTTGTGGCACCAGGTATTCCTATCCCTTTGATTTTTATTCATTATTTTTATTGATCATTAAGGTGTTTATTTTTACATTGAGGAAAATGTTAGATTTAGATTGGGGGGTATAGGTATGTTTTGTGTTGTGAAAATTCCTAGTTTAAGTTTTTTTTTTTTAAGTTTATTTACTTTGCTAAAAAAAATTTTAAAAAAATTAAAAAAATAATTGTTGGTTATTAAATATTTAGATAACATTTTTATTCATAAATTGACACCACAATATAGAAATAATTTATTTAGCTTTTAATTTACAATTGTTTAAGTATTATATAAAACTTTATTCTATATTTTTGTATCTCATATCATGTTCTTATAAAAACTCACAATTTGTGCACTTTATACTTGACCAAGTTAAAAATTTGTTAGGTATTTTACCTTGAGAACTTGAAACATATAGTGGAGATGCATAAAAATCCTGATGAGTTTTGATCCAATCTTTTTTGGAGGGTTATTTACATTTACTCAACAAAAAATATTTTTATTCAGCTAATCTCCTTCAATAGTCTCATTATTTTTATTTTGGTCAACGCCAATATTATGAATGATTGCTTAACTTTAAATTATTTGCATGGGGAGTGTGGTATCAAAAGTTCTTAAGATATGATTTTAGGCTATCTTTGTTATTATTTGAGCCTAAGCCTTATTTTTTGAATACTATTATCCCTAGAAGCCATGATTGAGTTTTGAAATAAAATTTTATTTTATTTTTTTATTACCTAACATATAATAACCAAGCTAATGAAAAAAAATAATATCTTTTACCCTTGGTTATCTCGAAATTGAGTTTTTTATTGTTTATGTATTTTGGGAGATGTTGGTTGAAAAAAGAAAAAAAAAAAGAGAAAGTTCTGCATACTTGTGAATACTTGCATTAGATATCTTGCTAAAAAAAGAAGGATATATATTCAGTTGTCTTGCTAAAAAGAAAAAAAGTTGAAAAGAAAAAGAAAAACAATATGTCTAGCTGTGAAAAAGCAGATTGAAAAAAAAAAAGAAAAATAGCAAGAATGTGTTTGACAAGGAAACAAAAAAAATATGAGCAAGTGTTGTAAATTGTGCTTCTAAATAGTGAAGAGTTAAAGGTTATGGAAAGAATATTGGTTGTGTAATGTACATGTTCTCTCGGGATAGTCTTTTGAATTCCTGAATATCCTTTGTTTCAAAACCCTAATCTCAATGTCCCATTACAACCTTAAATAAAGTCCTATCTGATCTCAAGAGTGTATTGATGGATACATGACTCCTGTGAATAAGGAAGAGAATGACGATTATTTATATATTATGTGTTGATTTCCTTTCATGAGACTATGTCAGATCCTTTTCTTTTGGATTACATTTTTTTTAATGAACATGTGAGCATTATTTTTGTTTTGATCTAAATATCTTCTTCTCACATGTGATATTTGAGGAAATAGTCACTATAATCTAAGAAAATCTTTTATAAGTGAATTATCTAGTGAGATTTGGCATTGAGACGAATAGTTGATGGTTGTAGAGGCGATTACCAGATAAATTACTAACTTGGTATAATTAATTCACACTACATACGAGTTTATATGTGAACATAATAAGTGCATATATTTATATAGCATAGAATTGTATATTTTGCTTTGCATGTGCTTATAAAAAGATTTATAACTCAGAATTTTTATATTATGGTAGCAATTTGTGTTATAAAATTATTATTCAGATATTTGATCTTAGGGTGATCTTTGTGGGTATCATCTCTGGAAACCCTCACGAGACTATACTCGTCCACTAGGGAAAATCTAGGAGTTTAAAGGCTTGTTGCATATGCTAAATGCAATCGTGAGGCCTACGAAAGTAGATTTATGTTTTATTTTATTAGATTATTTAGTTTTTAAGTTTTAGTTTTTAGTTTTTAGATTTTAGGATCTATGTATTATTAGGGAGTAGCAATATTCAGGTTGGGGAGTGTGATTAACCATCAAAATTACTATTTATTATATTTAATGATTGGTTAATTACATATTATTTGTGATTAAATGTGTTAAATTCCTTGATTTATTAATTTGATACTTTTTCTAGTTGTTTGGTTTATTTTGCAGGTAAATTGGTTGATTTAAAGTAATAATGGATAATATAAGTGAATCAATCACTAGAGGAAGAATCGCAATTGATAAAGATTGAAAAGTCAAGATTGAATAGGAAGACTTTAAGATATGATAGCAATTTAATCCTTATAAGATTCCAAAATGGAAGAAAACTCATTTAAAGTTGAATTAGGAAAATATCCTAGAAGAATAAGAATTTGATATGTCTTCAGTATTCTGGTCATAACTTTTGAATTGAATATCCGATTTACTTGATTTTTTGGGGCTGAAAAAAAGACTCCAAAGGCTACAAAAGTGTATTTCACGAAATTTTCGTGATTGAACCTCTAAATATGTGAAGTCTAAACTCAAAGTCTAGACAGATTTTGTACTCACGCCCCAAATATTTTATTCACGGAATTTAACCTTACAAGATTTTTTTTTGGAAAAGAATTTCTTCCAAGATAATCTTATATCTTCTACTTATACTAAGGATTTATTTTTAGTATATGTAAGGGTTCTCATCTAGGATTTAAGATAATTCTTTTTCCCATTTTTTTATTTCTAACTTTAGTTTGTCATGTCTGGCTAGAAAACTAAACTAGAGCTAGGGGAGAACCTCTCGATAAAGTACGGTAATATTATTGATTATGAGTTTAATAATTTATGATATTTTATTAATTTAACTTCTGATCTTATAACAAAATTTTTATTCTGTAAAAATCCTTGAGTCGTTATGCCATGTACATCGATTGCTTAAATTTTCCTGTGAGTAAATAACTGGTTATTCCATGCTTAAGGTAATTATCATTATTTCCTAAAATAATAAAATTGAATGATTATTCAAGTTCCTAAATAATATTTTGATTATAACTTTTAGTTTTCTTACTTGATTTATTATTCGAATTAATCGACATCTGATTCTTGTTCCAAGTTAAGTTTTGAGTCCTTAATTATTATTGTACGTAATTGAGAGGGAGTTCTTACGTGGACCGTATTGAGCTTGATGGGTCTTTATAAGGTTGAGCTCTTCAATTGAGATTGAGTTTTCCACATAAATCGAGCTATTTAGGCATGACCCATCAGAACCCACCTTATCTCTCTTATACTCATGTTTGAATACACATTTTTAGCCTCGTATTATCACCTAAAAATAATATTGGCCCGAACGAATAATGTATTTAATACTACCTACAGCCTCTTAAATAAACCCACCTTTTTGATAGATCTAAATAATCTGGCTAGGATACATTTGGGCAATAGATATTTTTACCCTCGAGAATCTATAAGATATAGATATCACTCTTTATCTTGAGAGTTTTGTAATAATTTAATGTTTATACCATCATTCAATACTCCATCTAAACAAAATATTGGATTGGATAAATATGAGACATATTACTTCTTAATACTTGAACCATATATGGGATAAAGAGGCCTTATCACTATAATTAGTTCAAGGGCCGGATAGATGGTTATGGAATGGACGTGTTTGTCCAATCCATTCCTTCCTAATGCTTACGGCCTTAAACCAAATAACATGTATTTGTTTGACAAAAATAGCTCCCAGATTATACCTTCTGTAGCGATCCTGTCGTTGATCCAATCTTTTTCATCCACATTTCGTGTAAGTGGTGGATCTTTCTAGAGTTAACATTGTCACCTGTTATATGCCTGCGAAGCTCCATTGCAGCCTACAAGTATTGTCGGCGTGGATTAAATAAAAATATACATAACTCTCAACTTAAGCTCATGATATAGCAAAGAATTCCCGCATATCTACACCAGACAAAGAATTGCACAAAACAAACGCCCACGCCATTGAATTTAAGGGTTTAAATATTCATAACTCACCATTTAATTAAAATTCAACACAGAAAGAACAAAACCAGAGTTACATTCATACCCAATACTTAGTCCGGTTCTTGGAAACAGACTTTTCACTAACGGTGCCTTTCAAAAGCACGCTCAGCACACCACTCGCTTCTTTCCAATTGTGTTGCCGCACAAGCCTGCGAAGTAAATACTGTAATCTCCTCCGATTTACGGATCGTAAGCTCCCATAATCTGCTCGTAAGCTCCCAATGCCTTGTTTTAGTGCATACGATGGCTTGGTCACAGATCGTATGATTCCGTTAATCACCCTTTCATTTGAGATTTGCTTCACGTAGTCGTGGGCCCTCTCAAGAGTCCTTGTTTTGTTCTTTTTGCCTTCATTTTCAACTTCTTCAATGTCCATCGCGTAATTCTCTGAAATTGTCCAGTAAGTTTGTGGAGGGACAATTGATAATATTGCAAAGTAAGTTGGTGATGGGATTTTTCTGAAATACTCCAAGATGAAGACACGTGTCTTCGGCGTCACTATAAATCCTGTTACTAAGATCACGTACCATCGGCTCACAAAGTCCCTCGCCCCCGAGGTACTTGACATGTGGATCAGTTGCATCCAGTACGTTTTACGAATCGACACGTATCCCTCGATCTGATATGGTACATCGGTCGCCATGTACAGCTCCCCTCGGCTCGAGATGTACCTCTCGTCGGTACCGAGATGTACTCCCGTCCAGGATGCCGTTCTCTGCTCCAGCATAAGCTATTGATGTACAGGTCACTAGCCTAGGCTAGTTTAGGTTAGCTATTATGACCTTGTCTTACACAATTGGTGTCAGAAGGCACAGGAAGGCAGGGGCCACAGCCAATGAGGAATGGACGCATGGCATATTGTGTCACATCAGAGACAAAAAGACCGCATGCCCTTGTTGACACGCGACTTGGGAAAGCAAACATTTAATTACACCATTCCCTTGATGAGACTGCATTCAATGCGGTAAGCCTCGGAATTGAAAGACAATAAATGTCTCTAAGGCTGGACATTTATTGCATCCTCCCCGAGAGGAGCTCATTGGACAGTCGGCAGCCCAATGACACAGCATTGATTGCTCGGGACCCCGAGCAGTTAAAGAAGAGAAGACATTCCTCATCAGAATCAGTGCGCACACTGTCTGTACCTAATGATCACCTACTAACTACACTGACAGCAATCATGAGTTTTTGAGGTATAAATACTCCTCGCAAAAGGCAAGACGGTATGCAAAAAAAAACCTTTGCTACAATACACATGCAGTGTTTTCTTCTTCCTCTCTCTCTCAAAGACTGACTTGATCGTCGGAGGGGATACGCTGAAAAACACTCTGGCGCCCTTCTAACTTGTTCTTCTTTGTTTCAGGAACCTTTCTTCAACCTTACTGGATCGTTCCTTTGATCCACGAGGGTCTCCCGTTGCCATTCTAAGTTACCACCGGATCTCACAGGCTGTTCCAAGCAGCGTGGTTGACCACTCAACTGACTCACTCGAGTTCACCAAGGGAGAGATCTGTTCTCGTTTTTATATTGTGCAAGATCCAGCACGCACAATCTGGCGCCGTCTGTGGAAAACGACTAGTTTTCCTAGTTTTTCCTCTATAAAGAACAGTGACCATGGTGAACACTCGACAAAAAGGGAAAGGTCCCCACCAAAGAAGTCTCGAATTACAAGCTCCCTGTCACCACGCAGGAAGGGATCATACTGATGAGAATAAAGATGCCTCTACTCAGTCAAGAGGGGTTACCCCTCAAACCAGTATGGGATTCAAGTCAGGAGGATCAGCCCCCCTGGCTCGTCAGCTGGCGGAGGTGATCGAAGAAAGGTTTGACGATAGGTTACGACAGTTGGAAAAGGACAATGTAAACGTCCTAAGCCGGCTCAACGAATATGTCGCCTCCGGCGAAGGGTCGAGGGACTCATTCCTCTCTCGTGGGCTCTCCGCCCGGGAGGCAAAAACAAAGGATCAAAGGAATCATCTAAACAACAAGGCAGAAAGTTTCAGGGCCCCGAAGCGACCGAGAGCCAACGAGCACCCTCCTAACGACCATTCAAGGAAGGCAAGACCATTAACCCTGGACGACCTCCGGCGATGATTGTCTAGACGGAGGAAGGGAGATGAGTCCGAGGAGGATTCTACCCTATTCACACGGCGCCCAGGAAATGAGGGGCCTATTGATGAACTCACAGACTTCAGAAGACATCCCGTCAGGGAGGAAATTGATCTTAGAGCCCGGTTGAAATCCAGGAGAAAGAGTAAAGCAATCCAGGAGAAAGAGTAAAGCTGTCCAGGATGAAGCCGAAGACGAGGTCATACAAACACCCATTACCAGGGAGATCGGAGAGATGGAGGTTTCAAGGAAGTTCGTCGTGCCGAGGTTCAAAACTTATGACGGGCGGTTCGATCCTGAAGCCCATCTTAGGCAATACAAGCAGATGATGTCCCTCTATCATTCGGACCAACGGTTCCTCTGCCGAGTGTTCTCTATGAGCTTAGGGGACTCTGCGATGAAGTGGTTCGAGGCGCTTCCCCCCAACAGTATTGGATCGTGGAAGGAATTGACGAGGCAGTTCTTGGCTCGATTCATTACAGGGAGTAAGCGGCCCAAAGACGTTGGATCATTGCTAACGCTCAGACGTAGGCAATTCGAGACCCTTCGCCAGTATGTCATCCGATACTGGAAAGAGGTAAATGAGGTAGAAGGCTGCTCGGAAGTCATGGCAGCAGCGTCTTTCCTGCTCGACTTGGCGAGGGACACGGACCTGTACCGATCCCTGACGAAGAAGACTCCCTCGGATATGGACGAGCTGATGGCCCAGATAAATAAATACTCAAGGATCGAGGACGAGATGGGAAGCAGCAAAGGCCGAACCCTCCAATCTAAAAGAAAGGAGAGGGAGTGGGAAGATACTCCCCGAAAGAGATTGCTACCCCCTCCAGGGGGTTCGTCCATAGGAGTTCACACCATGTTCAAAGAATCTATCTTCAAGTTGCTCCATAAGATCAAGCATGAGCCGTTCTTCAAGTGGCCGCCCAGGATGCAGAGCGATCCCTCCACCCGTGATCAAAAGGTTAGGTGTGCCTATCACCGAGATTTCGGATATCGCACCGAAAGCTGTAGGGTATACAAATCGTTCTTGGAAAGATTGGTCCGAGACGGACACTTGAAAGAGTACTTAGAGCCCGGGCCAGAAGAGAGACACTCCCTTGCCCTGACCGAGAAGCCGGACAACGTCATAGATGTCATCCATGTATGTCCCCTGGATCGCCCCACGTCCAAGGAACTCGAGTCCGACCTCAAGAAGGTAGCTTTTACAAGGAAGGTAACCGAGGATGATGGAGGGCCACCCAAGAAAAGGGCCAGGACTGGTGAGCCCAACATCACGTTCTCCGACGCGGACTTGACAGGCATAGTGACTCCTCATAACGACGCCCTTGTCTTGACCCTGAAGATAGGAAAATTCGACGTCAAAAGGGTGTTGATAGACTCTGGAAGTTCCTCGGAAGTGATGCACTCCGAGACTTTAAAAAGAATGGGTCTTGGCCTCAAGGACCTCACCAAGGTCAGGACACCCTTCATCGGATTCAACGGCCCGTTTGCCCTGCCCATAGGCAAAATCACTTTGCCAGTTGTCACGGGTCCCTTCATCATCAACACCGAGTTTGTCGTGATTGATACGGACTCTCCCTACAACGTGATCATGGGGCGAACATGGCTGCATGCGTTGGGAGCGGTGTACTCCACTTACCACCAGAAACTAAAATTTGTCATGCCAGAAGGTATCATGGAGATCCGGGGGGACCAAGCGTCCGCAAAAAATTATTTTTATTCAGCTGTTAGAGTCGGGGCGTTCAGCCAAGAAAAGGGGCGAGCCCCGGAAGAGATCATGGAAAAATAGCAATCAGTCTGGGCGTCCAGGAATGGATGACCCCCGGATAGACCCAACTGAGCGGTCGGTGGAGGACCTCCGAACATGAGGAGATGATTGAGTTCCTAAGGAGAAATGCGGACGTGTTCGCTTAGAACGCAATGGAAATGAAGGGGGTAGACCTCGGGATAATCACGCACAAGCTGCATGTTGACCCGGCGCACAAGCCAGTCAAACAAAAGCCACGACGCATGGCCCCGCATCAACACCTGTGCGGTTAACGAAGAAATCGACAAACTCCTGAAGGCCAACGCCATTCGAGAGATAAAGTTCCCAGAATGGTTGTCTAATACGGTTTGCGCGAAGAAGAAGGGGTGAAAATGACGTGTCTGCGTAGACTTCACAGATCTAAACAAGGCATGTCCCAAGGACGACTACCCCCTACCAAAGTTGGACCAGCTAGTGGATGCCACTGCCGGATATGAACGCATGGACTTCCTGGATGCCCGAGCAAGATATCACCAGATCCCTCTCCATCCCCCAGATCAGGAAAAAACGGCGTTTATCACTCCGAAGGGAGTTTACTGTTACAAAGTGATGCCGTTTGGACTAAAGAACGTCGGGGCGACATACCAAAGACTGATGAATCTAAAGAGATTATTTTTGAGTATTATCTCCCTCAGTGCTTGCCAGCGACAAGGATAAAGGGCAAGGCCCTGGGGGTAGAGTTCAAGGACTCCTGCCCCCGAAGCAAACACAGGAACAAGCCTCCTGCAAGGGCATGGCCCTGGGGACAGAGTTCAAGGACTCCTGCCCCCGAAACAAATACAGGAGCAAGCCTCCTGGAAGGGCAAGGCCTTGGGGGCAGAGTTCAAGGACTCCTGCCCCCGAAGCAAACACAGGAGCAAGCCTCCTGGAAGGGCATGGCCCTGGGGGCAGAGTTCAAGGACTCCTGCCCCCGAAACAAGCACATGAGCAAGCCTCCTAGAAGGGCAAGGCCCTGGGGGAAGAGTTTAAGGACTCCTGCCCCCGAAACAACCACGAGAGCAAGCCTCCTGAATGGGCAAGGCCCTGAATACAGTTCAAAAAAAGAAGTGTACGCAAAAAAAATATAAATACTCAAGCTTTATTTCAAAAAGAGGGGCTTTGCGTCCCTAAGAACTACAAAAAAGAGTACAATCAAAAAGAAAAGAAAAAAGTTTTCATCTGCCCCCAGGCATATCCAAAACATCGGTCGAGGGCGAGTCAGCATAGAAAGGTTGAGCAGCTTCTGGAGCAGGCAGAGGGAGAGGTACTTCGGCAACAGAGAGACCCTGAGGAATATTATGGTCCGGGTCCTGGTCCGGCAAGGCATCATCAGACAAAATCACTATTACCGCCTCAGACAGATCCGCCGAAACTTGCACCGGCGTTGGAATCGTGCTCTCGGCTNCCGGTCCGGCAGGGCCTCATCAGACAAATCCACTATTACCGCCTCAGACAGATCCACCGAAACTTGCACCGGCGTT